TTATTTATAATGTGATATTTGATGTGATCATCGAGTGTATTAGTACACGTTATACTATAGATGAACCGAATTTTCTAGTTCTTGAATAGATCATCCTGAAAACTTCTACAAATTCTTGTCTTTGTAACCAGTTTAAGAGAGAATCTTGTTTAATTTGCTTTAAGATTGATGTTCTATCAAGTTCTAAATTAGCTATATTATTAAAATTTCTCATCACTATCACTTGTGATCTAAGAGACTAGTTGATATATTTTTCAATAATTTGTTTATACACTATTTTCTTCTTACGCTTATTGTTTTAAGAGATATAGAGCATTATTACTATGATCTCTAGTTGTTTAAGGACCAAGCTTACTGAGATTAAATATTTATTTACTTTATCTACTTGCTCTATATATTTTCCTATTGTTTATTTATTAACAGACCAACCTCTGAGCTCTTCTTCTTGTCTCTATTAAAACTTGTCCAAAAACTTTTATAGTTTGGTTGTTTTTTTTATAATAAATATTAAAATCTGCATTTCATATTATAATATATAATATATAATATATAATAATAATAATATTATAATCAAAAATGTCTTTATAAAGTAATAATGTTAAAATTTTATTCACTAATTGAAATATGTCCATATGCACCAATTTTTGGAATTTGAATTAGAGTTTTTTAGGGTTTGTTTTTTTAAAACTTTAAAGTTATTTACTTTTAAAGTTTAAAAAAAAAAACCATAAAAACCCTAATTCAAATTCCAAAAAAATCGGGGCATATGCATGGCTTGCCTGGGTGTCTGTTAACACACGATTTACAAACATAATGCGGCTATATACGGGTCACCTAGTAAATCGCTAACCGTGATTTATAAAAATTTAATCTTTAATAACTTTTGGACCAATAAACATGTACAAATAAAATTATACTTGCCGAAGCTCTCTTAACGTGCTCTTTAAATTTGTAAGAAAACCCGGCCAACGAATTACTGTGACCATGATAGCAGACACTCAGGTTAGTGCGATAAAATTCTAACGTTATTACCTTATAAAGACATTTTTCATTAAACATGCTTTTATAGAATTTAAAATATTAAATACTACGGGAGAAATTAAAGGATTCTTAAGAAAAATTGAATATTCTTTAAAAACTACGTATAAGAATACTAAATTTAAACAATGGTACTAGCATAAACTTAGCTTATTAAGTTTACTAAATAACTTTGAAACTAGAAATTTATATCTGGTTTGTACAAAAATTATACTGCAACAAGTTATAATGATTATAAATCTTGAAATTAAAAACTTGCTATGGGCCTTAATTAGGGTTGCTGTGCAGATTTAATTTTAATAGTGCACCATTGTATAATATTAAATTTTTATGGCTTTATTAATAGTGCACCATGGTGTGCCACCTGCATCAGCAACTCTAGCTTTAATGTAATGTTAAAAAATTGGACAAAAACTACGCCACAGTTAGTTTTGGACATATATCCAAATGGTTTTGAAAATAATTAGAAATACGTAGTAATCTTCCCAACACTGCCTTAATATAATAAAAACTGATAGAAAATAAGAATTGTTTTCTTTATAAAATTTAAGGAATACGTAATAGTTAGGTCTCCAGCCTATAAACGTGCCGTTTACTAGCTTATTACGGATCGAGACTCCAAACCTGGTTCTAGAATGAAGATCGTGTAACAGTAACGACAAACTCTCTGGTGCGCATCAAGAACATTAACGTTAAAACATTACGTAATTATAAATTTGGTGATATAATGATCATCATCTACTCACGTGTCCATTAACGAAACGCTCTATTATTATTATTATTAATATAGGAAACCCCCTTACTCTTACATTTCTTGTGATCACTATAACACAAAGGGGGTTAAGGGTGACTAAAATTACCCTGTGTGCTGCATAGTACATAATACAATTTCCAAACTCTATATATACAAGATATGATGTATAAGATCTGTGATGAAGTTTCTTAGTTTATTTTTAGTCCGCGCTTCGTAGAATACATTTCATTTTAAATATAAAAATCATGGATTATTATTTCAATGAAAGATTTTCTTTTTATGTATAAAATCTTTTGTTATTAATTCTTTTTTTTGCTTTGCTTATCAAATCGAAGCGGAAAAAATCTATTATTTTTTTATTTTTGAACATGTAAGTTTTTTCTTTTATTACCGTAATTTTTTTTTTTTTGTGACATGATTATATATTCGAATTTTCGTTTATAGTTTTAAAAAAAATAAATAAAAATAGAAAATTCCGTTAACATATACATGACTATTGCAATATAATAATCACGATAAATTTCATCATTTGGATCCATTTAAGATTTGGTCTGAGAAAACATTTACAGTACAGTTTAAAAATCACATCATAATTGTAATACATATAAAATCAAATTAACGATGTCTGTAATAAGTGGTTCTTCTGAACCTGAAAAAATTCCACTTGGAAGTAGTCCATCTTCAATTACATCTCTTCCAATACAAAACGATTATACAATCGGTACTTCATCTATTGTAAATGGCACTCAATCTGTAATGACTGCCGCGACGGCAAATACAATACTTCCTCCTGATCAAGCAAATATCAATTTCAAACCGGCAACTACTGCAATCACAAAAGTTAATAAATTGAAATTACAAGTTTCTTTGGATTCTACAATTTATACTGCTGGTGGTATTCTGACCGGTAGACTTGTTTTGACAAGCACTACTTCACGTTCTTTAAAGCTTGGTGAAATATCCTGTGAATTAACAGCTTACGAAGGTAATTATCATTTACAAAAGAGTTTACCGTAATAAATTGTGACAGCCGAATTGGCTAAGCTGAAATTCTGAGGTTCTATTCGAATACTAAAACTCCGATCCTAAATATGTGTTCTAAAATTTTATAATAGGTTAAAAAATTTCAGCCTAGCAAATTTCTGCTTTAGTTACTACATAAATTATAATAGCTTTAACACTCATAAAATGTAAAAATGTAATTTTATGCAGAATTATCGACAAAGGATTTTACTGCTTCTCAGTCTTTTCTGTCTTCAAGATTGGCTATTTCAATAGCAAGCAATACAATTTCATCTATACGTCTGTAACTCAACTCGATCTTAGAAGGGATCTCTAGAGTAT